CCACATTTTAAACCCACACATTTTAAAACAGAAGAGAGGTCACAGTACCCAAACCCTAGAAGCCACAGAATGCATAAATAAATAAATTTTATATTTTAAAATTACTGTATAGTCTAATATTCACATTTAATTTTAATTTAATATTACAGTCTACTTTTTACATTTGAAGTCCACACTGCAAGATCCATCAGGGCACAGAAACATATGGGTAATTACCCCCCCCCAGATGCAAAAAAACCCCTGCACAATAAGTACAGTGTACTCACCCAGAACAGGCAGTGTCTGTTTTAAAAAGTCAAAAATCAGAAATTTAAAAAGGCCCAAAAAACCCCCAGTCTGTACAGTACAGTACCAGGCAGTCCAAGGTCTCTCTTCGTATGCATTCACTTAACCGCTGGGATGAGCAAGGCAGCAGACAAGCATCCTCTTCGCTGGCCAACAGTTAACTGAAAGTTCAAATTTTGCCCTTTCCTCACCTCCCCTGAATTTTTTTGTTGTTCATAAGTCAGAGCTCCATTCGCAAGTCAAAGCAAAATTTTGCGAATGGAGCCGCTTGTAAATCGAAATGTTCGTAAGTAGGGATGTTCGTAAGTCGAGGCACCACTGTGCTAGACCACTAAAAATCAAACATTAAATGCAGGCTTTCTTGGACTACAAATCCCTTGTTCAGGTGTGCACCATTACGATATGAGTACTGCAGAAAAAGTATAGATGAATATCCAAAACAAAACAAAACATGGCAAACGTTGCCAGACATCATCCTTTCAAAGTGAGTTTAAAGCTGGTTACAGACAGGCTGAGGGGGAGGGCAGTATGGTATCATGCTTCACTCCAGTACTTGGTGATTGGAAAGTTCCACTTAGTACTCAGACAGAAATAGCCGATTACTCTGCATAAGGTCCCCCCACCCTCATTGCCTGATTTTGGCATACAAGTTTCCTTTTTGGTAGGGGATGAGGAAGACAACACCTGTGAACACAACAATCTCCATCAGAACACTGGGTTACATTTTGATTTGTTCTCCAATTCATCAGTATATCTGAATGTCACAGCTAACATTTAGAGTAGTCAGGTAGTAGAAAGCATTATATAGGAAAGATGTGGAATCTTCTATAAATTTGAAATATGGTGGACACAATTTTTGTGACAATTTATTTTAAAAAATGATGGGCTATTTTACTCTTTTTTAACTTTCTTAATCTTTCATTTTCATAATTAATAAACAATTAAGATGCAGGTCACATATGCAGAATGATCAGATGTTGTGTTTCTGCTATTAGTTGGAGAATGGAAAGGGTTCATGCAAATCAGTGAAGTCCCATCTGGTATCAGGAGGTCATATTACACCTTCTACCCCCACCACAGATAACCAAAACCTATAAGTTTGCATCAGATAATGGATATGTATAGCAAGGCTTTTCCTGGGAACCTAAAAGCTCTCTCTTTGTACATTTATAGAAGTATGTAAAATTTTCCTCCTTTCCTCAATACTTTTTCATATGCTTCTTTGCATTATTTGGTTTTCACCCACATTTTGCGTCACAAAACTTCATTGCTATGGCAACTCATATGAAGTATTTTATTGGGGTCAAGAACATTATTTTGATATCTAGTGTTGTGTTCAGCAGACGGTCTAGAAGCCGATCAAGAAGACGATCCCATTCAAAATCAAGGAGCAGGAGACGATCTAAAAGTCCTCGGCGGCGAAGATCTCATTCCAGAGAACGCACTAGAAGGTCTAGGAGTGCATCCAAAACCAGGTATTCTAATAAGACTTTGTGGAATGTTGGAAAATATTTTCTGCCAAATAATTTTAACTATGCAACCTGATGAACCACCATTTTGGCAGTTTGTCCCCATCTCTAGTTAACACAGTCATACTTGACGAACCATGAATTCCCCCTCAGGTGAACAGACAAACCATGACTTGGTTCGTCAGGGAGTTTTTTAGACAGCCCGTGGATGTCTAAAAAATAAAGCTAAGCCCACTGCCCCCTTGCCTTCTTTCTTTGGCCACTGCCACTCGTGCCACTGTTGGCTCTGCCGCTGTTTCCATCTTTACAAAGATGGTGGCTGCAGCTTCCCTTAGGTCTGGCTCCGATGTCCTAAGGGAAACAAGGCAGGCCGCCCTTTGCAAAGATGGTGGCAGCGGCTTCCCTTAGGGCAGCAGAACTGGCTCTGAGGGAGACCAGGCCACCCTTTGCAAAGGGTGGCCTGGTTTCCCTTAGGGCTGACTATGCTGCCCTAAGGGAAGCCATTGCCATCATCTTTGCAAAGGGCTACCTCATTTCCCTTTGAGATGGTTCCACTGCCCTAAGGGAAGCCGCTGCCACCATCTTTGCAAAGATGCAGTGGGTGACACAGGTAGTGGCCAAGGTAAGGAGGTAACGGGAAGTGGGAGGAAGACTGTTAGGGACAGGGGACAGGAGGGGCTAGGATAGCTTAGTCCTTCCATCTCTGCCTATGGGCCCACCGATCAGATGTTTGGTGGGGCCATAGGCAGAGAGGGAAGGCCAGACTGCCCTCTGCCTATGGAGGATGAATAAAAATGGGCAAATATTTGTCCCTTCGTATTTGTCAGTGTCTCTGGAATTGATTAATATGAAGGGATGAATATTTGATGAATCAGTGATTTTTGACCAATATCAGGGTTCTTTTTTTATTTGTCCCGATACCTAATGCTAACTGTAAGGATATGATAACTGGGCTATAATGATGAGCCCATTTAGTCCAGTGGAATCTTCTGTCAGTGGGGAAGGAGCCAACTTGCACCAAGGCTCCCTCCAGACCCTTCTCTGCTGAGCAAGAACAACAATAATAATGTGTGCCATCCAGCCAGTTCTGACTTACGGCAACCCTTTTCAGGGTTTTCCAGATGGAGAAGACTCAGAAGTGGTTTACATTCCCTTCTCCTGGGGGTGCGCTGGGACTGTGCAATTTGCCCGAGGCTGCACTGGCTTGCTCTAGTCACAGGATGCACAGTGGGGAATTGAATTCCCAGTCTTGGGCTCTGCAGCCAGACATCTAACTCAAGACCCTATAATGGCCTGGAGCAGGTTGAGTGTTGTTATAGAAAGTATCCCATTTATAACATTCTTGAAGAGAAGTCATTTTTAGCAGTTACTGAGACAAAATAACTTAATCCTTCTTGGATGTTGGTGAAGAGACCCTATTTGATGTATTTTGTAAAGTAATGTTGGAATGTTTCAGAGACAAAAAGAAGGAAGAGAAAGAGAAGAAGCGGTCTAAAACTCCACCAAAGAGTTACAGCACAGCCAGGCGATCCAGAAGCGCAAGCAGGTACAGTATTTTCTTGAAATAAGTATTTGAATTTTAAAAATTAAACAAAAAAAGAATTATTGAAAATAGTTTAGCTCTTTGAAAAAGAATTTGATTTTAACTAACAGACTGGCACATCTAAATAGTTGTAAAATAATTATTTATTAAATCTGTACTCTGCCCAACTGACAAATGCCCTTGAGGTAGTTTACAGCTGAAAAAAATGTCAAGACAATATGTAAAGTCATAACCAGAACAATAATGCAGCTGATTAAAATACTATTAATAAAACAGCAGTAAAAGGCAACAAATCGAAATCTGCTGGAAGTTCTTAGTCTGGCATCTGAGGAGTCCAGGTGGTGGGATGGGCATTCCACAGGTGGGAATTGTTATGAAAAAGGCTGTTTTCCAGGTATCTGCCTGTTGCACCACTGTAGACAGTAATATCCAGAGGAGAGGCTTTGAGGAAGAGATTAACCATCAAACAGAAATATATGAGGGAAAGGTATTCCTTTGAATAGATCAGGAAAAAAAACAGAAAAAAACAGACAAAAATGTGATAATTTTAAAGACTGTTTTTAATATTTTAAATTGAGTTTTTGTGGATCAGATCCACTTTTTCAAACATGGGTGAGAATATATGACTGTCATATATGGCCACATAACCGGATGGGGATCCAAATGAGGAACAAATGGACCGTGCTTCATTAGTGAAGGAATAGGACCATCAGACTGAATAATTTTAGTTATTAGTTTACACAGTAACAATAGGCGTGAGGGGCAAACTGGGAATCATTGTAGGAATTCACACTTGGAAAGGATTAGGAATCTTCCACAGGTGGGAATTGTTATGAAAAAGGCTGTTTTCCAGGTATCTGCCTGTTGCACCACTGTAGACAGTAATATCCAGAGGAGAGGCTTTGAGGAAGAGATTAACCATCAAACAGAAATATATGAGGGAAAGGTATTCCTTTGAATAGATCAGGAAAAAAACAGAAAAAAACAGACAAAAATGTGATAATTTTAAAGACTGTTTTTAATATTTTAAATTGAGTTTTTGTGGATCAGATCCACTTTTTCAAACATGGGTGAGAATATATGACTGTCATATATGGCCACATAACCGGATGGGGATCCAAATGAGGAACAAATGGACCGTGCTTCATTAGTGAAGGAATAGGACCATCAGACTGAATAATTTTAGTTATTAGTTTACACAGTAACAATAGGCGTGAGGGGCAAACTGGGAATCATTGTAGGAATTCACACTTGGAAAGGATTAGGAATCTTCGATTGATATTCAGTCCCTTTAAATCTGTCTCCAGTGGCCATGTATCACTATCTCAGTGGTTTCTCTTTCAAGTCTGGTTCTGTAGTTACTGTAATCCCCCCCCCCAAGGCACATGGAGACTGTCTAGGTAAATTGAAATGTCTGAAAAAGATTTTTGTGTGTTGCCATTCCTAATATCAGATTTATATTGGAGGAAATGAGTTGAAATTTGACACACAAAAATTCACATTAATTATATCGCAGCTAGTCTGTAAGATGCTACAGTGTTTTTGTCTGTTTTTGGTTTTGTTTTATTTGTTATGCTCGCATAGATTAACACAGCTACTTCTTCAAAAATTACTCCTTTGAGTAGACTTCTTCCCCACTATTTAGGATTTTGAAAATCAGTGCCAACCACAGACTGACTAGTGCCCGGTATCTAAAATGGCTATGCTATATATAGGCTTCCATACAGGAAGGATCTTGGCTGGTATATTAGCCAAAGCTAGTAAAAGCAACTGTACCACAGAGTTGTACAGCTAGATCTGTGAGCACCACTAGGCTATAGATGTGCCCATTGCAGGAAAAGGCTACCTCATTTAGAACCAATTTTACACTACTTAACTGTCCTGGCAAAGCACCTGCTTACAAAAAAACCCAAGTTATTTGAACAGACTCAAATTACGTGCCTTCATCAAGTGCATTAACTGAGTCAGTGAATAGAGGATTATTGGAGAGAACATCAGTCTGCCAGGGAGCTTGAAAGTATATGTACAGTGGTGCCTCGCACAACGGGTGCCTCACATAACGATGAATTCACACAACGATGCCTTTTTCTGTTAAATTTGCCGCCTCACACAGCGATGTTTCCTATGGGGGATTTTCACACAACGATCTCCCATTTTGCTCCTGTAAAAGTGTCTTACAATGTTTGGAAGCTGTTTTAAATTATTGGAATGGTTAGCCCACCTCCTGAAACAGAATTTAACACCTCCAGCAAAATCACTAAAAGTTCCTTCAGCTCACAACTGTATCTTTCACAGCGGGACATAGCTGCAATTCAATGCTGCTGAAAAAACTGGTGAACACAAAAGGGACATATTTCCCCTCCTTTTTCCCTTGGCAGAGATCATTCCACAGAATTTAAAATCTAATTGAAGTGGGTCAAAATTCATTGAAGTTGACCAGCAACCATTCTATCACTCTGCCCCAAAGCAGAATGAAAAGCTATCTGGTTTAGCTGCTGGTTCATTGTCAGAAGAGATTGCAATTTGTTCACTCCATTAACTTAATTTATTTTTACTAAAGTAGGACTCCTCATATCCATGCGCCTCTGCTGATTCACTTGTCCAGTCTGAAAATACTAAAAGAAAAATTCCTGGAAACATACATTTCTAACAATAAAGTTACCAGAACTAGCCACTAGAGGGAGCGTGCGACCATACTGTGGCAGTGGTTCCCAACATTTTTGGAGCTGTGAACTGGCTGGGGGGGCAAGCTCCATGCGCGGGTGGGCGGGGGTATGTCACTCTTGCACAGGGGATGTGTCGTACATGCACACTGGTGCGACATGACCCTCCCCACACATGCGTGGGGGGGCGGAGATCCATATCCAGGGGCCCATGTCACTCTTGCACAGGGGGATGTGTCGTACATGCGCACTGGCGCGACACGACCCTCCCCACACATGCGTGGGGGGGGCGGAGATCCATATCCAGGGGCCAGTTCCAGCAAGCTTGTGGACCGGGGGTTGACGACCCCTGATGTATAATGTTTGCTATAACAATACTGTTTGGTACAATCCGCAAATTCCAGCATCTGCTGGCTGGGGTGCTTGAAACTGTTCCCTTGCAGATATAAGGGTCCTACTGTACTTTAAATGTATATTTGTCTTTTTCAAAGAAGAATGATTTAAAATGCCTACCTAAGTGTGCTTTGGAGAATGTTTGAAAATCCTAAAGTGATATTACACAATAGAAATTTTGATGTGAACTTGCCCTGACTTTTTCTACAGAGAAAGACGGCGCAGAAGAAGCAGGAGTGGCTCCAGATCCCCTAAAAAACCCAGGTCACCCAAGAGAAAGCTGTCTAGATCCCCCTCACCAAAAAGGTTTGTACATCTGATGGTTCGCTATGCTATGGGATACTTCTGGGCAGGACACATTTGGAGATGAGCAGTCTTGTTTAATAGGTTTAATAGGGAATTCATTGGAATTTGTTAACACTTTTTTGCTGGTGATGTCACCATTTGTTTAATCATTGTTCTTAACCATTCAGGCAAATAGATGATGGTGAAATATGCTAAATGAATGTCAGCTTTTGTTAAGTTAAATATTACATAGTAGCCTTAAGTTATAAGGTCAGGTATTTCTGCCGCATATCTATAGCATCTTGATTTATTTGGTGTATCTGTTTTGTTTTGTGCTTGATTAACCATATCTACTGAGCCTTATTTTGTGAACAGTAAATCCAGTTTGGTTATTCTAAAATGTCCTTTATACTTTTATGTGATACAGATAGTGTGTGTGTGAGGGAGAAAGATTTCATAGGAATGACAGGCAAATGAAGTAGTACAGACAGCTTAAACTGAACTGACGTAACACCATTCTTTAATAGGTGTAAAGAAATTTCTGTAATCAGAAATAATATGAATAATACTATGATGCAGTTATTCTGATATATATTATATTTGTTACAACTTTGAACTGGTTGCATCATGATCAGTCTATATGTGAAACTTGCATATAATCATACTTAGTATTTGAAACTGGCAGCTGGTTTTACCACAGAAATCTCTATAGGAACAATGTATGAATCACTTCTATCTCACAAATACCCGTGTTTTTTACTTTCTTGAAATGTCTTTTCGTCGTAGACACAAAAAGGAGAAAAAAAAGGATAAAGACAAAGAGAGAAGCAGGGATGAACGAGAGAGGTCAACAAGCAAGAAGAAGAAGAGCAAAGACAAAGAGAAGGATCGGGAGAGAAAGTCAGAGAGTGACAAGGATGTTAAAGTATGCTTAAAAATCTGTTCTCCCTTTCATGTTTGTGAGGTGTACAATTTAATTCTAAACTTCTAGAGCTTTGCAGCATGTCTTACGTGTTTTGCTTTGTACTTTATCTTGGCAAAGCAGGTCACAAGAGATTATGATGAAGAAGAACAAGGCTACGATAGTGAGAAAGAGAAGAAGGAAGAAAAGGCAGCGGAGCCCACTTCCCCCAAACTTAAGGAATCACCAGCTGAGAAAGGGAGCGGTGATGCAAGGGAGTCCAAAGTCAATGGGGATGATCATCATGAAGAGGATATGGATATGAGTGATTAATAACTGCCCTTGCAATGAAAACAGTTGACAACATGCATCAGTGTCATTCCTGTGTGATTCTTTTATGCTGTACTTGTTTAACCTTTTATGCTAGATGTACACAGCTGTTAACTATAACTGGTTGTAAAGCTCCTGACATTAAGTAATTACATCAGACGTTTGGAGAAAGTGATATTTGGGATTTCCATTCTCATTATTGGCCAAATTGAATTGAGCAGCCCAGCAGTTTTTACTTGCTTGGTGTTGCTCTTTTCTTTTTTGAACAGAAAGCTGCATGAATCCTTGGCAGGCATGGACTGTTTGTGTTGTATGACCTTTTTAGTAAAGCAGCTCACCTACAATAGTGTTTATAGAATTTTATTGATTTGTGGTAATAAATCAAAATAGGGAATGCACTGGCTGCACGTTAACTGTGACAAGAACATCCTCATCTACAACGTATGGTGGATCTACTAAGGGTCTTAAGTGTAGATAACTAACATTAGCTTCATCTGGAAACAAATATTCTGATAGAGATAGAAGATCCTTTTAGCCCTGCGGCTGAATCTTTTTGTTTTGGATTTGTTTGGCTTTGACAACGTTGAAATGCACTAGCCTTTTTTGATGCCCAATGTGAGGTGAACCTTTGAGTCTGAATCCTTCTCAGGTGATGTGTTTGATATTTGACAACTTGAGATAGTAATGAAAACCTGTATTCTACAAAGTGAGAGAGCGTTAACTTTGTGTAGTTTTTCAGAACTTGCATTTTATTTCATTCTTTTTTTGTGAGTATAAAAGCCCTGTTTAAAAAAAGGGTAGTGCATTTTAAAAACGGAACTTCATGATGGTTTTAAAACAAGTCTACTTGGTAATGTACTTGATCTCAAGTTGTATAAACTAATAAATTTGTGTTACAGTCACTGAAGTAGTTACTTTTTGCACAGTGATTCCATGTTATGCAAAGTAGTTGGGCAACCTTTTCTTTTAGTTCCAAAGGTTTTGGAGCATATACTTTTGTGCAAGTAAAAACAAAAGTAGGCTACACTCTGTGCCATGTTGATGTACAGTTTCTGAAATTGTTTTACAAGACTTTGATAATAAAACCCTTAAATATATACTTGCATTTGTACTGAAGTGTACATGTATTTGTTCATGTTATTAACTTGTATGCGGCTTCTAAACATTCTCCCCTTTACTTTGGCAGTTAAAGCAAACACAATTCATAGGAAGCCCTGAAAAGAAAAACCAGTTATGTTTTCCTAGTGGTTTCATCATACGTGGTGTATATACTTGCTACTCAGGTATATTCAAAAGTGTTGGGGAAGGACTGAATAACTGCTACTATGGGGGGACACTAAAATGTATTGCAGAAATAATGAAAAGTTGTTCCTGGAATTAGTATCTTTATGATTTGTATATAATTTGATTAGTTTTAGCTAGAGATGGGCATGAATTGGTGCTTTACACTGGTTCAGACTATGGCTGGACACAGTTTGGCACTCCGTCCACTAAGAGGCAGTGCCTGGGGGAGGCGGGGGGGGGAGAGCCGAATTGGAGAACAGCTGTTCAGCTGTCATATGAACAGGCCTGAGCCATCTTTAGTTTTAACAGAAGCAGCAACCGTTTCCCTCAAATATTTCAAAATGAAAATGTGCCATGTAAAGCAACTTTTAAATAATTTATGCATGTGTAACTTTTAAAGGAATTTAACTATTTTCTCAATATAGTGAAAACCTAAGAATGTTTACCACCCTTTCTCCCCAGAAAAATATAACATCGAAGAATAATGTAGTAACCCACACAAGAAAGGAAAATTGAGATATTTCATCTTTAACCTCACAAGTTGCATACTGGAAACCTGTTAAACTTTGCAGGTCTGTCTGAGTACACAAGCATCAAACTATTTTGAAAAGGCAGAAACCTATTTCTGCTGGGTAAATAATAGGGACCTGGTCTCCAAGTTAATTTCCAAATGGTATTCTACCGGCTAACATATGATGAGTTTAATTGATCACATTTTATATCTTTGTGCTATGTTCATATTTGGATTTGGAACGTCCCAGTCTTTGGGGAAAAAATGGTATAAATGCTTTTCTGTGTTTACAGTGTTAATCTGGAGCCAGGGAGGGCCTGTGAAAGATGAATGAAAAGATAACGCAAATTACTGAAAATATGCATTTAGAAATAGCTGTGGTTTAACTATGGACATCTTTTGTCAAGTTAACCTGCATGTAAGTAATTCCTGTATCTGGTGCTTTTTCATAAAAACTAGGTAAAAACTTATGTAATGCGCTAAGCATGAGCTTGGTTGAAAAATTACTATAATGCAAGTACCTGAAATAAATGCATTTGTGCAAGCAGGTTGCATTGAGGCCATCTGTGAGCTCTAGCTTCATACTGAACTGACAGACCTAATTTCTTTGCATACTGTGAATTTATGCATATAAATGAAAATGTAGGATAAAATGTGGGAAAACTACAGTCTTCCATATACTTGTTGGGGAGGAAAGGTTGTGCTTCACTCTATGGTAGTCAAAATAATTTCAGTATACAGTGGTGCCCCGCTTGACGACAATCCGTTCCAGGAAAATCGCTGTTAAGTGAAATCATCAAGCAGAAAAAAAACCCAAACATTGGAATGCACTGAAAACCGGTTAATGCATTCCAATGGAGAAATACCTCATCGTCCAGCGAAGATCGCCCATAGAGAACCACCGATCAGCTGTTTAAAATCGCTGTCTTCTGACCGGAAAACAGCCATTTTGCGAAGGGAGGAAAGCCATTTTGCAGAGCTGGAAAAAACATTGTTTTGCGAACAAACGGTTCGCGAAGCAGACACCTAATCGATGTAAAGCGGAAAAAAAACCCATAGGAACCATCATTTTGCGATCGCTACAAGCGGGGCACCACTGTAGTTTCTGACAGCTCTATCTGTCACTTTTGGTCAGAGTATTTTGCCTTCCATAAGAAATGGCTAGTGGGACTTGCCATAACAGATTTGACTAGAGCATATACTTAACAGGCTGCAAAGCGAGGAACCAAATGTGGTCTTCAAAGAGAAAGATCTACACTGGCTTGATTAGTCCCAGGAATGGGGGAGAACGGTTAAAAGAATTGTTGGAAAGGTTTCCTTTTAAGAGGCTGCAAAACCAACTGTCTCCTCAGATATTATAAAACGGCTTCTTTCCCTGTCTCATATGTTCACCCCTATCCCCATGAATTTGTAAGGTTGCTCACCCCATGAATTTCTAAACTATATGCCTACTCAGCAAGCTAAATACAGTACTGTTTTAGCCATACTTCCAGGTCCCTGTGACAAATAGTGAGTCATAGAATAATGGAATAGTGAAGTTGGAAGGGGCCTATAAGGCCATCAAGTCCAACCCCCTGCTCGATGCAGAAATACAAATCAAAGGATACCTGCCAGGTGGTTAAGTTTCTCTTGAACTCCTCCTGTGCTGGAGCAGTCATCACCTCTCAAGCTAATCGGTTCCACTGTCACTGCTCCAACAGTTAGGAGGTTTTTCCCAATATTCAATCAAAATCTGGCTTCTTGTAACTTGAGCCCATTGTTGCACGTTCTGCACTCTGGGATGATCAAGAACTGATCCTGCTCCTCCTCTGTATGACAGCCTTTCAAGTATTTGAAGTGTTCTCAGATCATCCCTTTGTCTTTTCTCAAGGCTAAACATACCCAATTCTTTCAATCTTTCCTCATAGGGCTTGGTTTCCAGCCCCTGATCATTGTTGCCCTGAAACCCCATTAAGAGTGATCTTAACCGACCAGATAGGCGGGATATAAAATAAATAAATAAATAAAATAAAATTGTTCCATGTCCCGCATTCTATAAAAGCACCTTGTCCCTCTCTTGAATGATCTTGGGGCCTTACAATACTTTATTGTCTGACTTCCTTACATTCACCTCTGTCCTCTGCCAGGCTGCTTTCTTTCCCTTGCAAACACTATACTTAGAACTATCTTTCAGACCATAAATGTTTTAATCCAGGACTGACCAACATCTGTGGGGCCAGGGAGCCATATGAAAAATGGGTCCAAGCTTCTTTCATGAAATACTGTTAATTTCATGCAGCACAAATTCAATCACTAAATAAAATGACAACCACTACCATTGAGGAATAGAAGCAAAAATAACAACTGAGACCATTGTACTTTTGGCATATCATGAGTAGACAAAATTGAGTGGGAACGACAATAACGCTTGGAAAAGTTGAAGGCAAGCAGAAAAAGAAAGACCCAAGTATGAGATGGATTGACTCAAAAATGAGTCTACACAAGTTTGCAAGATGTGAGCAGGGTTGTTACTGACAGAATCTTTAGGAATTTGTAAGGTTGCTGTAAGTCAGAAGCTACTTAATACAGTGTAACACTGAGAAAAAATAATAGGATTGCCATTAGGCAAGTATCAAATCCTACAGAGGCAGCTGTATCATACTTGTGTTGCTGAATGTCCTCTGCACTGCAAGGTTTTCATGTCAAGTATGTGTGAGAAAATATAACTGCAGTCTGGCACAGGGAAAATACTGGCACAATATCCAAATGAGAATTACGATGGCATATGTTATTTGGGGGTGGGGCACTGTTTGCTTTCTCTCCCTTTTTATCTGATCCAAAAGATGAGTATGGGTTTGTGGAGATGCTTCATTGTTAGGAGTTAGTGGCAAACCTGAGTATGACCAAGTTTTTTCTGACAAGCATTGCTATCTTCCACAGGTGTTAAGGGTGGGCACTAAGACAACACATATGCTGCACAGCCAATTTCGGTATGTTCAAAAGAATAAGTACTTAATATGTTAACTCGTCTGTAACTCACCTTCAGTTAAACAGACTGAAAGCAGCAAAAATGCACTGAAAATTGAGGATTTTATTGAAAAACTGACCAATAAAATGTCCTTGTGAAAGTGGTACACTGTAACAGCCTTTTTTGTACTTACCCTTCCTCTAGTACGGAGGAAGTGTCCACACACACTAGAGAATATAGATTTAAAAATGTTCATATGCTCAGTTTCAAAAGCAAACAGCATCTTTTGGTCTTTATTCTAAGTGGTACAACCAAAAACCCTATTAGTGAAGGTGAGTAAGAACACAGGAAAAGCAATATACAAAAATGACATTAAGTCTCCACAATTATAAACTCTCAAAGAAAAACTGCAGCATTATAGGAAGTTTGTTAATAAATTTTAAATAATGTAATTATCTTTTAATGAATCAAAATTAATAAGTATATAGTTAAAAATTGACTTTCTGAATATATTATGTTCAACATAAGGTGGGTTTCCAGCACAGATTTGTATCCACAGGTGAACTATCTGATAAATTTGCTAGATATCCATGAACTGCAATTTCTAACTTAATAAGATGACTTAAAACACCAGCTGCTTGGAAATACAGGATTCCCTTTGCCATGAATTAAAGCAATTATTTGGAAGACAAGTAAGGCTGAGTTTGGTTAAGGAAGAGTTCTGGGAATTCTTTAAGAAGATTCCATAGTTATGCTTACCAAAATATTTTGCCAGGTTTTAAGATTTCATTTCTAGATAATTCATGTATTTACATTTTGCTTTCCCAAAGGTGTTACTAACTTCCAACCATGACCTAAAAGCATGGAAAAGGTATTTCATTCTATAACCTGACCTCTTGTGATACATAATAGTGTGCAACAGTTCACACATTTTTTGCGCAAGTTTTTCTTCCTACCTTCACATCCCATTTGCAGCGAGTTCCAAAACCTTGAAAATGATTCAAATGTTCTTCCAGGATGCAGACAGGTTCTTATCCCAATAAATGGGGATGCACTTAAAGAAAAAAAATTCTTGCCATGCAAAAATGCTAGACAGCTACTCAATTGTGATATGGCTACATCAGAACAGAATGTGAGCATCCACTCTAAAAGGAGCTACATGAGGTGCTCTGAAGTGCTTAACTAAGTGCTAAACCATTTGGTTTCAATCCTCTCTGATTCTTCCATCAACCAAAATCAAATATCCCCTAGTCTATCCATTTGCTCATAATATGGTAAAATTGTTGCATCCACACAACTCCCTTACTTGGACCATCTTTCCTATTTATTTTAAAGAGAGCCACTGTATAAGCTTTTTTAAAAAAATACAGTAGGTGGATAAACCTCCCAAAGGCAGACCTAGCTCTATGTGTGCACAAAAACTGACCAGTCATAGACCTGATTTTTTTAAGCCCCACTACTGAAACTCCCTTTTAAGTAGTAACATTTTTTAATTGGATGAGAAAAATTGCAACCTCAAAGTCTAGCAATGCCACCAGAAAGGCTGCTGGCACTTTTGAGGGCTCACTTCTGTCCTCAAAAATGGTGCAACGACTTTTAGTTCTTAGCAACCAAGTCGAAAATAAAACTCTATTCCACCAAAAGAGCTTATTAGGCCACAGCTGTGACTTTACAAACAACAGTTCTGTTGTGTTGGTTCCAGACTCAGTAATGCATAGACCAGACTCACTGAAGTCAATGAGACTTAATTTGGTCACAGCTTCAGTGAGCTTACTCTTAAGCATGACTAGGCCAGGACCCAATGCACCGTGAATGGAATGTATTTGCTAGTTGCTAGGATAATAGTTCTTGGGACAATATTTTTGGAAACCTCTTTGGCATTATTTACCTAATAATTTCAGATACAGAACATGACCAATTGCATATTTTCGCAGCTCACTGGCCACTGCCTCAGCAATCCCATACTGCTCCTCACTTACTGCATAAACAGTATTGTAAATTCCTATAAAGGATCTCAGTATTGTTTTAGAGGAGACCCCTTGGCCTAATAAATGGCAAGTTCAGAGGTCATGTGAGCAAATTTCTGCTCACAAAACCAAACCTCCCTTTTCCCTCCTGCCCACTACCTCCTCCCTCTGCTGCTTCAGAGAGCCCTCCAGCAATCCAGAGCAGATTTGAGAGCCAGGAAACAGCAGGGGACAATCACCCCACTCCCCTGTTCTCATGACTGAAGCTGCTAACTGAATAATGTTGGGCATTTTTTTGACCCAATGTTTCTTCTGGAATCAAGGGACTGAGGAAACAGACTATGCCTTCTCAAAAATTAATTGACAAATTCCTCTGAATCCTAAAATTCAGTATCTATTTACAGGGAATAGGCTGCACCTCTCATAATAGCTATTGGTAGTGAAATGATTCTGTCCACAATATGGCACTGACAACAATACATACAAGCCGATAGAGGCTATGTTCACATACAGAGCTGTCAGTCTCCGTGCTCAACAGCAGTTAAGACTGGAACTCTAAGTTTACAGTATTTCTGGAATTGGGCCCAACATTTCTACTGCTTCAGATCATGAGGCTCCAGTTTTCTGAAAAAAACATATGAGACTCACGAGCCGGGTTTTATTGCGCACTGTAATTCACCTCACCCCATTCATTTCACATTTGAATGTTATTACCAGGGCTGGGAGCATCACCCAGCACAATGTTTAATTCAAGTCTAAAATTGACTTGAATAGTTTCCAGGAAAAAAAAAAGATTGACTAGACTGCACAAAGAATATACTCTGAAAATATTTACAATTTTTTGTTTACATTTACACATCACTGGAAGCTAAACCTCTGAACACAAATGAACGTAAGTACTGACAGTTTTGGACACATTCTTTCCAGTAAAGCAAAAAGGTGAAGGTTATCTTCAAGTTTCAAACACTGGAACCGTGTGAATATCCTAATTTTTAAAAACCCATTGGGGCTGACACCCTTCTGTAGTTCCCCACATGCGGAATCACCCTCATTCTTGTACTTTTTAATTATTTTATTAATTGCAGGCCCTATTTATTTCTCCTAAGTTTTCACTTAGGAAAACGCTTAAGCTCTGAGACTGTAATATAACTGCATATATTCACTATATTCCCAAATGCTGCTGGACATCAGTACAAGGTTAGTGAGTGTGATGGGCACAGTCCGTGGATCAACTAAGCCCAAAAGAATGTCAGTGATTCCACTTGTAGTCTCCAGGCATGCTCTCCAACACACACAGCAAGGACATTTCCAACCAGCTTGGAAAAAAAAATCTGCAGATTTTATAATAAGATTAGTAAACTTTCAGTGGAGAAATTAACAGTTTGGAAAAAAATATATATGAATAGCACCACAATGAATTGCACTAAGGTGCTAAAGGAGGTACCTTATTCCCTGCAGAGTGACTGCTCTAGTTCTGAAACGTATTGCAGTAAGTAAATGCAACTGTCTAAATAGTTAACATTTGGTTCATTCATCTACAGAAAATTAATTCCTTCTATTGTATGTTCAGCTGATGTTCGATTTATGAGTGTTAAAGAATTTACAATTTGTGAAAACAAAGCTTGAAGGAAAGTTGTAAGGGCAACTTCAGTAAGATGGATGTGTTAAAGGGGCTAACAGCCAAGTAAGACATTTTGGGTTTTTTATACAAATGGTCCAAGAATGTTTCTTGTGATCAAGAAACATTAAAAAATAAAAATTAAAAAAAAATTATAGTCCTTATAGCTGTTATGTAAGTATCTGTAGGAAGAGAGGTGTCACCAAGACACCTGGCTACGATGTTTGTGGGTCTGCATGTATAAAATGTACATGATACATCAGGAGACCTGCTCTCATTTAGACATCAGATGGATGCTCTCTATATGGTACAACTGAGTGAGATTCACTTTGTGTTCCCTTTCTGAATTCGTTTAAACAAGATTTATCCTGATTTGACCACTTCCAGACACTTGTCTCTGGGCTATCTGCATCCATTCTCTTTTGCTCTCTGTGGCATGCTGGTATTCTTTATTCACTGCTAATCTTCCAGTTAGGTTAGAGATCAGGAAAGCGACTAGGATCCTCTTTGTAGTCATCAGGAATTGTGAAGATTGATTCATCAAATTCATCATAGCGAAACTCTTGAAAAGTCACAGTAGCTGTGATGGTTGGAAACACAGGTATATCTAGGAAGGACAAAACAGAACATTTGTCAACTACAGAAAAATGCACAGTAAGGGGCATTTGTCTCTGGGAAAGAAAAAAACACTTCCCCACTTGTCCATCTTCAAGATATCCTTCCGGATCACTACCAGAGTGGACCATGAAGATAGCTTTTTAGATGGCTTCAGAATGTGATATTACTGTTCCCATGGATCCCGCAGTCACAGGTCTTAGGGGTTCTTCAAGGTTCTAGCCTGTGTCCAGCTCCCTCACCCCTCCAATCTATAGAGAACTACAGGAAAAACCATCCCAACCTTTTGGTTGAGGTATCAACAGCATGCAAACACAACAGAGGCAGTGGTGCAGCCATGCTTGGGCCTTGGGATCCATACGTCCCCAAAGATTGACAGTAGCAAACAAAACCAGTATCAGCATGGTGATGCTTGAGCTCAGCAGGGTGGGCAGTATTGGCACGAACTTCCTTCCTTCCTTCCCATTTTTAGAAGCAATTTATGGTTGCTAGTACTTCTATTTTAATTTAAAATACATAGTGATCGCTCTGTTTAGCTATGAAATCGCTTTGCAATGTATTTTTTGCGATCGCAAAAGCGATCGTTTTGCGATGTTCCCTATGGGGGAATCTCACTTTGCGATGATCAGTTCCCTGCTTCGGGAACCGAGCATCGCAGAGCGACGGTTTTAAAACAGCTGATCGGCGGTTTCAAAATGGCCGCCGGGTAAACAAAATGGCCACCCGCTGTTTTCTGGGACGGATTCCTCGCTTAAGAGGCATCAGAAATGACTGTGCCATGGAGGATCTTCACTGAACGGTGAGTTTTAAGCCCATAGGAATGCATTAATCAGGTTTTAATGCGTTTCTATGGGCTTTTTTATTTCGCATTACAACGTTTTCGTTCTGCAGCGATTTTTGCGGAACGAATTAACGTCACAATGCGAGGCACCACTGTATATTATGAAATGTATTAGAAATGTAAAACCATTTGTAAGATAAGAAACGGCAGTGAGAAGAGAAGTGACAGCTATGTGCTTCACTACTAAAGTGAATCTGGCCATTTACAGAGATGGTGGGGTAAGGTAAGTCTAGCAGTTATTTAATTATGGGCTGCCAAGTTGGAATTGACTTACAGCAACCCTAATAGGCTTTCAAGGTACGTGAGACATTTAAAGGGTGGTTTTACCAGTTCCAATCCCCTAGTGAGTTTCCATGACCAACTGGGGATTTGAACCCTGATTTCCAGGGTCCTACAGTCAGTCACTTTATCCATTACACCACACTGGGCACTCAAGTTTAAGAAGTCAGGATGGAAGATTAGCTATCAGGACCTCATGACTCCCCCCTCCCCCGATCTCTGTTAGCTAGAACTGCCTTTCAGCAGCTTAGGCTGGTCTGCCAATGGTAAACAATGTAAGGCGTGATGGTTACAGCCTCTACAAACTATGTCCTCTACATACAAGTGGTCTGAGGACAGCCTGGAAACTTAATCTGCTCCAAAATTCAGCCATCAGAGTGCTTGAAGTGGCCTCGCAATCCGATCATGTAACATCAATTTTGCAAGAGTTACATGGGCTACCCACCATTTCAAAAAGCAGTCGTGCAGATTTTTAAAGCTTTAAAGAACTTGAAATTAGGCTACTTTAAGGACCATTGCGTGAAACAGCTAGCGTCCCAAGATGAACCTTAGATGCCTTGCTCTTAGGCACAACACTAAGATTAATCTGCTTGGAGGGCACCAAAAACAGGGTTTGTTTTAATGGTTTTCCCATACTAGCGAATTCTCTTCCCTAAGAACTGTGTCTGGCTCTATCCTTGCATTTGCTACAGTTTTTAGTTTTCAGAGTTTTATTGCTTCTTTCTGTTGGCCCTATATGATTTTATCTAATTCTCCACCATATTATTTTATCTGGTGATGCTGTTTTTATTATTTGTCACCATATTTAATGATTTATTTAAGGCTGCCTTGTGAAGGCTTGTCCTAAATTAGTGGGACAGACATTCCACATGGTGACACTTCCAACGACTGCTTGCACTTTACTAAAATATTTCTAATGTACCTTATATTAATTAACCTACAGCCAGGTACAATCAATAAAGCATTTTAACATAAAGTACTGTAAAGTGGTGCCTCGCTTAACGAGCACACCGTTTAACGAAGAATCTGCATAACGACCCGTTTTTTGCGGTCGCTAATGTGATTGCATTGCGATGTTTAGATAGGCTAAACATCGCATTGCCATCATTTCTGCACCCAGCAGCCATTTTGGGAACAGCTGATCGGCGGTTCCAAAATGGCCGCCTGCACCATTTTCACGCCCTGCCCTCGCTTTCCAAGGGCGCGAAAATGGCAGTGCTATGGAGAAACTTCGCAGAACGGTGAGTTTAAGAGCCATAGGAACGCATTAAACTAAGTTTAATGCGTTTCTATGGCGTTTTCCGTTCCATATAGCGATGTTTCCCCATAGCGACGGTTAATCCGGAACGGATTAACCTCGCTATGCAGGGCACCACTGTAGTAACAAAATGCATGTCACTATCATCATTATCAAGGTAAAGTTAGCATTATTAATACAAGCAAATGGATGATAGTAAATTAGAGTCAAAACCAAATGGTTTGCGTGAATATCCAGGCATGAATCTGACACCCAATAAGGCTTGCACTGTCAATTGCAAAATCTCTGTAATGAGGTGCATTCCTTTTTAATTTTTTAATTAATTAAAGAAAAACAATAAGAACAATACTAACATAATTCTGGGCCCAATCCATCTGTACTGGGTGTCTTCCCTGCTTTTAATTTGTTTATAACTTCTATCTCTTCCTCTGTTATTGTTCTCTCCATTAATTCCCTATCCTCTTCAGTTATTACTTTTTAAAAATTCTTTTCTAAATGTTTCAATTTTATGTAGGGAAGGATTCTTGTTTGTATGTAAGTCCTAGTAGAATTTTTGAAAAGCTTCTAGTTTTTCTTTCATTTTATTATATGTGTTCCATTTCTGATTTTTTATCAATCCTATATTACTCTTACTTGGGGGGGGGCAGCTTTAGCTAGAACCTTCGAATTTTTATTACTAAATTCAAAGTATTCCCTGTTTAAATATATTAAATCCCTCTCAACCTTTTCCATATGTAGTCCTTCTAATTCCTTCCTTTTAGCTTGTAACTCCACCATAATCTCCTTTTCTCTAGTTCTTATCGCTTCTTTTTCTAACTTCTTAATCTCCTCTAAATCTTGAATTCTTTTGTGTGTGTGTGTGTGTGTGTGTGTCTTAATTGTGTATGCCGCTTTTATAGCATATCCTCTGTCGCCAGAGGATATGCATTTCATAAACTGGGTCCAGAGCTGAGAATTCTGATCTCTCTTCTCTTATAAACTTTCAACTGTCCTCAACCTCATTTTTTTTCTACACCACCAGACTTGTTGGTTGCCAAAAGTCTGCTAGCTCTCAAACAGAAGTAGGAAATGATCATTAAAATGTACATCCCTGATAAATTCCGGAGTGTTCTGTAACTTGGTATTTCATATGGGTACTTGGTCTATCATGTGTGTCCTATCGCACATTTCATGTACTGCCTACTTTAGCCTCATATATCGACTCCACCTTTTTTTATTGTGTATTCTTCATTCCACACACTGTGAAATAACAAGTCGGCTCATTCAGAGGCCTACATGGTGACCCATAGCATTTATCATTCCAAAGATCACTTTTAAAACCACCCATAATTCTTGGCAAGGCACAGAGTTGCTTTAAATAGTGAAAATGTAAACTGATAGCTCACCTAACTTTACAGGAAAGCCTGGTGGAAGTTTCATCTGCACAAATTCCCGCAGTTTGTTAAAGTGCTTGAAAGGTGCAATTACTTCTAAAACATTCAATAACCTGAAAAAAACCCACATACACAAGTTAACACTCATGCACTTTGTGTGCTTATATAGAAAGGACAGCAAATTCCTGGACATGATTCATTAATCAGATCAAATCAAACACAGTTCACGGTTTGTTTCTCAACCATTTAAAATGCATGTTCCCCTCTGGATGAACATAAACATTACATATTCCTTTCAAATATGCCTCTTTTATTAATTTTACTTGAAAGCTGAAATTTTGCAGTGAAGAAAAAATCAATATATTTGTAAATTTAAAGGGCATTTCTTTTAGTTTTAATTCTTTCTTAATCACACTGTAACTCAAAGATATAGAAAGAAAAGGGAAAATAGTAAGTGCACTACTGCATATCACAGACCAAAACAATGACTGCTTTCTGTGTACTAGAAAAGCAATCATTTCTTTCACTTTCCAAATAAAAATTACATCATTATATTGAATGTGTTTTTTCAAACTACAGTATGCATCCCCTGGAATCCTGATATACCCATGAGAATGTGTGTGTGTGTGTGTGTGTGGGTGTTCCACAGGTTGAAAATCACTGAAGCAAATTAAACAAATGTAAGCCAAATATTGTATACCCACATTAAATTCAGGTCCTCTGCTACTCACAAACACAACCAAGCATCCATTTATAGTGATACTCAAATGACCCAGGATTTCCAAATTATCTTCCTTTGTTGTATGTTCAGTGATACAACTCAGTTATTTTCCTTAGGTGAGCTTAATTATCTCAGTTTGTAGCTTTCAGATTATAGTAACATATCAGTAATTAATCAAGTACTACAACAGGAAAATCCCAGGCCTACAAATAACTGTGCATTACCCCATTCTAATTGGAACTATCTTACAAAATTTCTGTTTAGGAACTTCTCATAAAGGATTATTCAAGAACTAATTTATCAGGATGCATAACAATGAACAATAGGTATGGAAAAATAGCCCTATACCTTCCAAATTACACCTTTCCAAAAGCAAATTATAAAATATTTTTACATTTACATTCTTCTAAAATGCATGTCACCAATTCCTTCACATCACTTTCTCAAAAATCCATATAAATTAGCTAACTTATTCAGATTGCAAGTACAGTATCTGTACTTGTGTATTACAGAGACTGCACGGACACAGTGTACTATATAGCCTGATCAACTGTGGTTTGGTAATAACTGACCGTATTAAGATGTAATTGAATAACTAATGCAAAATTTAGAACTTCAAAAATATTCAGCTTCTCATTCTTACACTCTTCTGGCTGCAGAGGAAAAAAGGAAATGGACTGGTTTTCTGTTGGAAAATTCAGAAGCCTAGAGTGTACACAGGCCTCCGTAATTGTCTGTCTGTCTGTCTATCTGTCTGTCTGTATGTATGTATGCATGCATGCACGTACGTACGTACGTACGTACAGTGGTGCCTCGCACTGCGACGTTAATTCATTCCGCAAAAATCGCTGCAGAACGAAAATGTCGCTATGCTATATTAAAAAGCCCACAGAAACGCATTGAAAGTCCTTTAATGCATTCCTATGGGCTGGAAACTCACCGTTCAGCGAAGATCCTCCATAGCGTGGCCATTTTCGCTGCCTCTTAAGCGAGGAATCTGTCCCTAAACACAGCGAGCGGCCATGTTTTTTCCCCAGGGGCCATTTTGAAACCACCGATCAGCTGTGCGAAAATGGGGGCTTTGCGATGATCGCTTCCCTGCAATCATCACAAAGCAAAATTCCCCCATAGGGAATATCGCAAAAAATGTGTCGCAAAGCGATTTCGTCGCTAAACGGAGCGATCGCTATGCGAGGCACCTCTGTATGTATGTATGTAACTTATATACCGTCCACACTACCCAAAGGTCTCTGGGCAGCTTACAACAATTTGAATTCAATAAAAAAGATAAAATGATAAAACAATTAAAATACAATTTAAAAAATAGTGCTCTAAAAACTGCCATCAAGACGCACAGTTGATATTATTTCATTTAAAAACCTTCTGGAACAGGAAGGTTTTGACCTGGCACCAAAACATCATCGTCGGGAGGGCATTCCATAGTCTGGGGGCAGCTGCCGAAAAGGCCCTTTGTCCACAAGAGATCTCTCTTACCTCCTTGAGGGATGGCTCTTTCAGAAGGGCCCCCTGGCTAGATCTTAATTGCCAGGTTGGTTCATATAGAAAGAGGGGGTCCTTCAGGTATCCAGGGCCCAAGCCGTTTAGGGCTTTATACGTCAAAACAAGCAGTTTGAATTGGACCCAGCCAGCGACTGGTAGCTAATGTAATTTGAACAGAATTGATCTGATGTGTTCTCTAGCAGCCCCACCTTTCACCAGCATAGGTGACAGTATTATCCAGCCCTGAGTTACCCCAGGGTGACCAAAGCAGTCTCCGTACCAAAGTCCAGTCTGAAACCCGATTGAAATAGATCCAGAAATTCCATTTCATCCAGCAGCACCTGGAGTTGCCCGGCCACAACCCGCTCCAACACCTTGCTCAGATAAGGGAGGTTTACCACTGGTCGGTGCTTAACCACCAGCCCTGGGTCCAGGTTAGGCTTTTTAAGGTGTGGCCAAAATACCGGCTCTTTCAAGGAGGTAGGTAGGGACCACTCCCTCCCTCAAAGAGATGTTCATGGCCTCCTGGACCCAGATGCGAACCCCCTGGATTGGGCAATGTTCGAGTGGAGTGGTGATAGAATGGACAGATCCAAGCACCCTGTCCACATCCTCAGGTCTTAACAATTGAAACTCATCCATTAATACTTGACCTAACCATGGCACACTGGGCACATTCTCTGATTCTGTACTAATGGCAGAATCCAACCCACTGCAAATCTGAGCAATTTTCCCCTCAAAATGAATGGGCTGATGAGTGATCCGAGACCTCCACCAGATTTCCTAGTTCAAGAAGATCCAGACCACCCAAAACAGCTGTGCTGGATGACATTCTGAGGAAGCAATACGGATGGTGAAATATTGCCCAATAATGGGCTCTGTCATGTTTGATCTGACTCCCAGTGGGATTTCCTCCACCTGTGATCCAGCCATCTCCCCTCTCACTTCATTGCCCGCAGTTCAGAAGTATGCCAAGGACCTGTCTGGGCTCTGCATGCAGGGAGAGGACACTTAGGCACAATCGTGTCAACCACCCGGGTCATCTCCCTATTCCATAGGGTGACCTGAGCTTTGACAGGAGCGTCAATCATATCAGACGAATAATCCCCTACAGCATTCAGGAAACCATCTGGATCCATTAGTCTCCCAGGGCAGATCATAATAGATCCCCCACCCTTGCAGAGGACAGAAGAAGCTAATAGACTAAACTTGACCAGGACATGGTCTGACCATGACAATGGGCTCAAAACTAGCCCCTCCACATCCAAACCACCATATTCCAGTCCCGTTGAGAAAACTAGGTCCAAAGTATGGCCCTTCTCATGTGTCGGGCTGATGACAAATTGAGACAGCCTCATGATTGTCATGGTGGCCATGAAGTCCTGAGCTGCCCCAGTCAAGGCACCCTCAGCATGGATGTTGAGATACTCCAGCACCAACAGCCTGGGAGTTGTCAACACCAGGTCCAAGACTACCTCCGTCAGCTCAGGCAGAGAGACTGTACACAGCAGGGTAGGGGGTATGCCAACATAATCCCCAGTCTGTCTCATAAACCCAACACACAATACATGTCCTCAAGACCTCCTCTCAAAGGGATAGGAAGCCTATAGCAACTCCCCCTCCCCAACCCTCCAAGCAACACTGGTGCTGGACCAAGTACCCAGACACCGAGTGCTGTCCTCTGAAGATGCCGGCCACAGAGACTGGCGAAACGTTAGGAAGAACCTTCAGAACACGGCCAAAGAGCCCGAAAAACCCACAACAACCATTACCCAGGCACTAATTCTCCATACAGGATATCTTTTGGAATCCGACCATCAGCTGGGAGAGGGGAACACCACCATCCTCTCCCACCCAGGTCTCAGTAATACACGTCAGGTCATCACCCCCATACAGAATTACATCATGGATGAGGGCAGTCTTATTTTGTACCAACCTAGCATTCATCAACAGCACCGTGTGGCTCGAGGGTTTGCTGATATGGGCACCTGACACCACCTGGTTGGAGATAGGACTAGAAGAGGGGATAGATGTATGATATCTCACCTCTCTTCTCCTATGTGGGCATGTTCTACTCCCACCACCATTCTATCCCCTACCCAGCACCACTTCAATCATTGCCCCCTCTAACGTCCTCCCCACTTCCTGTTCCCTCAGGTCCGCTGTGGGTCTCTACTTACTCAACCTGATGGCAACTGACAACCCAATCACAATAAAACCTCTACTAAAGCCCCTTCCGCCCCTGAGTCAGGTGGCTGGTGTTGAAGAGGGGGTGCAGCAGCCAGAAGCAGCAAGGGCCCAGTCCTGCAAGGCAGTGGGAGTCCAAGCCAAGCTCCCCCAGGCAGTAGCACAGCCACACTGTCTCTCACCCAGTGCCTGTGGGGTGGCAGATGATGGTGACTCCCCCAAAAGCAGGAATGTTGGTCCGGCCAACATTTGAAAAGAGAATACAGTCTACTTATAATGCCAAGAACTATTTTTATAGAAGTAATTATCTGATTTGTAGTTAGATTAGGCATTCTTCAGTCTTGAGAGAGTATGGTAATGTGCTCTGAACAGAGGACTCGGGACAGCGTGTGGCTGAGAAGGCCAATTCGAGAGTGACAATCCCTTCCACCCTGAAGACAAATACAATCTGTCCCCTGTCCAGCTCCCTGCTTTTGCTGCTTTCGGGACTGCCTCTTTGCCTCAGCCTGCTGGACAAGGGTCTCTTCAAATTGGGAGAGGCCATGATGCCTCCAGGCTGAATGCTCAGTTGTCAAGGTTTCCCATCTGTTGAGGTCCATTCCTAAGGCCTTCAGATCCCACTTGCAGATATCCTTGTATCGCAGCTGTGATCTCTCTCTGGGGCGATTTCCCTGCACTAATTCTCCATACAGGAGATCTTTTGGAATCCGACC